GAAGTAGCTTTGTCCCAGAATTCATAGCGCAGCCCAGCTCAGTTTTCAACAATGGCGGCAGCTAGTTAGTTTTAATATTACTCTTATTATTCTTTCTGGGTCACAAAATAAAAGTTTAACATATTTTCAGGCGAGACTGTAACTGTGTAAACCAGTTTATCAAGACACCACATATTTTCAAAAGTGCGCCGACGTTTTCGGCGATGTCTGTTACCCACTAGCTCGATAGCTAGCCGGGGGAAAGGCTCACTAGAGGCCATGAGAACACCGGACTCCCGGCAAATCATTTTCAAACCCACCGTCGTCTTTCGCTACTCAGGTTAAACATATATAAGTCACTTAGATAACTTAAAAATGTTATCGTTTGGCTTTTTTTTAGTATTTTATTTGTTCTTGAGTAAATCGGTTTGGCTGAGATTAAAGTTATAGTTTTTACACAGCTGAATAAACGTCAAGCAGACAACTGATTATCAGAAGTGTGAGATGCTCGAGAATATACTCCGGTGTCCCGTTATATTTCAGATAGCAAGGAGCTTATTAAACTTCACCGAAACAGTCTGCAAATTTCATTAAAATTTAATAAACCATCAACTTGTCTTTATTTTTAGTTAGCACATACCTTAAACACTTAAAGCTGTAAGCTAATGATAGTTATATAAGAGCAGACGCATGCTGGTGCAATAAGCCGTACGCTTTATGTCCAATGGATGCATGATCTGATTAGTCTACTAATTGCAAAAATAATCGGTGACTAGTCGACTATCAAAATAATCGTTTGTGGCAGCCCTACTTCTAGTGACACTTTAAATTCTTCTCCAAAGCCCTTAGTGGTAGCTTTTAATCACTGCTTAATTTTTACGTTGAATCTAAGTAGAGAGGTAACATGGCACCACTGGTGTATGGTGTATGCCACTACTTCCATCCATCCTGGGTTTATAAGCCCACAAAATGTTTGTAACTCACCATTTCCTGTTTATCATCATTTTGTAGTTTTTGCTTCAGGTCTTTGGCATAGAAAGTGTCATGTTCTTATTCTTTTTCTTTCGAGGGTAAGAACGTACTCCGAAACCTCAGTCCAATCATGAACGTACCCACAGTCATCTTGGGACACTCACGGATGGCCTGAAATGATTTTTGACTCACTGTTGAGTCACAAAGGCACTATAATACACTATAATCAGGCTTATTTTACAGCATCTCAGAGCTGTTCTCACATTAGCACCAGTGTGTGCAGTTCAACAGCTTCTTATTATCTTGATGTCGACTTTTCCCCACAGACGTGTTACAAATGGAGAGCAGGGACATAAAATGCTAGAGCATCGTAAGGCCTCTCGCTGACACGCCTACCCCAGACCTGTAGTATAATTTTTTTTTTCTTCTAAGACCCATTATTGCTCCAAGAGCATTCCAGAGTTGTAAAATTGCCTCCTTTTGGTCCGATAAGCCTCCATACACATTAACCAGTTACACAAACCAGACTTCTAGGATCACATTTCATCACCCGGTGCTTAAAGAGACATGCCACCACCAGGGCAGCACTGTGTGTTTTCCTTCAAAGTTCCTGTTCACCTGAAGGTGTTTATAGTCATCATGCCGGCGTGTTTTTGCTGTTATACTGTAGAATGAATCTTGTATGGCGACAGAGTCAGTGTCAGTCAACAACACAGTTACCAGGCCTATATTTATAAAACTGACCAGGAAAGAGTTCTGCCTGTGTGTGTTTGTGTGTTCTGAATTTATGGAATCTAGATGTGTAACCTGTCTAGGTTACAAATGATGATCATCATCATAGTGATGGCAAATGTCATACTTTTAGAAGAATTATTGAAGTTGTGTCTTTACTGCTTCAACAACCTGATGCGGGTTATTTGTTGGGGGCCTGAATGGCCCTGAAAGGGATGAAGACTTTAGAAAGATGACAGGCCAGCCCTTTTTGCACTAATAATGCTGTCAAAGAGGAATATTATTCTCTAGTAATTCCACACCATGATCATGCGCCTTTTGTAGCTCGAATGTCACCTTTGAACATCTGAGACAACTGGCAGTTTGATCCCGTAGATACATTTTATTATTATATTTATTTAATAGGCAATTACTCTGTAATAATGGGCACGTGTATGTGTGTTAGTACCCAATTAAGCCAATGTTTTCCTTCACTTTTGGTTATGCTGTGTGTTGCCCGTTCTGTGACTATAACAAAGCCCCAAATTACATTAATTAGTGTTTGGCATCCCTCAATCCTAGTCCCTAGCCTACATATTTCTTATTCCCATCTTTCTTATTCCTTTTGCATGATCGATTCTTTTTGTGTGATATAGCTGGATACAAACATTAGCCATACTTATGGAAAAAAAATAGCATATGCAAGTAACATAGTAACAAAGAGCTACTTGACTTGTGGCTAAATTGGCTAACCCTATTCATTCTGCCAATGACGTCAGGTGGTCCATGGCGCCTTTGTGTTTGCCTGCTTGAAAGAGGGTCAGAAGGGGGGGGGGGTTGTCACATCAGGTAGGGGGAGTAAATGAGCAAAGGAAAACACAGAAGTAAGGCATGGGGTAACAGGGAGAATGGGAATCTATGGGATTGCAAGCTATTAAAATGGAAATGGAAGGTTCGAGCTTCAAGTTCGAACCCAGATTCTACTTGGGCCCAACACCCTCACGGCCCCACAGCTCTCTCTGTGATATTAACAGCCACACGGAGAGCTGTCAAAGAGGAAGTTATCGATTGTTCTGCCTGGCCTTTGTTTGCATTAACACGCAGTTGTTTGGGACTTTGACTGCCTTGTGTAAGGACCAGTCACGAGAGCAGGCGCGATTGATGAGCTTTATGGGTAGACAGAGCTCCATTGTCATCCCCACACCCCAGCTTCCGTCAGGGCTTTCTGATCACTGTGCAGCCTCCTGAAACAAAGGCAGCCATGTTTGTACAGATGGATTGAGTAGGCCTAATTTATCTGACTTCTCTGCTGCTCCAGCAGTGACCCACTCTTGCTGGTTGCATTCACTGTTGGTCAGATACTTGTATACGCTAATTGTAAATTAATGGGATGAGGTAGAGTGTTGAGGGTGTGTTAAGGAAGGACTGATGGGCAGAAGGCTGGGCAAGCTTTCTCCTGTTCTTCTAAGTGGGATCATTATGTACTCTGTCCTTTTATTGTTTCCCTGTCTTCATTCTTTCACAGTACAGAGGTCTCATTTATGACAATTGTAATGTTTGTCCTGTGTAGAAACACTCCTTAGTGAACAAGATTACACCTGTAAAGCTCTGCTAGTGGAACGATTGCATACTGATGTTTAGCTTTGCCATAAAAACGTAAAGCTTGATGCTATGATGGCACAATAAAACAGGATGAGAGATTATTAAAATCGCATGAAATGCCAATAGAACGCAAAGTTATTGTTATTCCGAGCAAGGCTGAGTTACATCACTTCAATTCAGACTTTTTTTATATATTTATCCGCCCTGCTGACTGAAATTGATATTTAAAGTGCTCTGCACATTGTTTTGTTTGTTTGTTTGTAACCGTTTCATCTGATCTAATGGGAGAAAGGAAGGCTTATGGGGCTGTGTCCAGAATCCTTTGGTCAGCATTAATGTGTTCGGTAAACCAGTCGCCGTCCTCTGACCCTTCATGAAACAATTATTTAATGTTTTGTTTCTACCGTTTTTACTTGTCCCTAACATGCTGTAGCTTTCACTACATCATCAACCATGGCAGCATCCTCACCATGAGCAGCTCATGGCCAGTTTCTCTAACAGAGATATAATTTATAAACGAAAAACAAAGGCGCTCATAAATGAAGCAGATATTGTGGTCACCATGGAAACTGGAGATTGGATCACAGATTGCTCCTTCACCCTCCCTTTTAAAATTCAACCCAGAGTTATGGCTACTTCATGGATTAACAAGGTAGAAAATTTACAGCGAAATTGGGAGTAAACGTAAAGGTGGAAACAGTTCGCCGAGGCTTGGAGGTTCTGTTGTGCATATGACAGAGGTGTTATAGTGACTGATGAACCACAAAGGTCAAAGCAGCACTCTTTCAGTGCTGCTGAGCAAGACCCCATTGTGTGTACTCTGACAAACACACTTACGCAATCTCTGAAGAACACATTTTACTATGCAGTTGACACATGCTAATTTCTTAACACTGTGGCAACAGTGTGTCACCTTACATTCACACACCGACCAAATCAGGGTGTAGACGAGATATTTTCTGTTCTTGTGTGCCTTCTACAGACAATCCTAATCCCCAGAGGATGAATCCCATAAAATTACTTTGACAGCTGGGAAGTTTGTCTTTTATTATGAGGCTGACCACTTGTATTTTTAATGAAATATTGGAAATTATTCACAACAAATGAAGATAATGCCTATGTTTGCATGGGTTGCCTTAAAAGTTGGTACAGAAAAGACACTAGTAGTCCAAAGAAATTTCTCTACAAGTATGAATGTTAAAATGCACAAAATATGTCTGAGGTTTCCCTATTTGTATGCATGTAAGTCCTATCAGTTGTATGGTAACCGGTGTGGTGTTCAGTACAGGCATTGTGAAGGCCTGCTCACTGTGATTGGTCAATGCTTTGTCACGCTCACGAAACTGTACTGTGCTGAAAAAGAAAGTAACAACAGGCTTTATATTTAAGAAAGGTCTGTAAAGATGCCTCAGCTGCACAGTCTCTGTGGGATATAAAGGATTAAATCCTCGAGCCAGACACAGGCCTGTCAAAACCAAACAAAACCAGCTTTCAGAGCTGCTGATAGCCAATGAGCAGTTACCTCACAGGGTGATGTCACATGCTGGAGGCGTGGTTTCATTTGCTAATGCTGCGGCTGTAGTATTGGGATGTAGTTGGTGGGCATCTTGTGACTGTTTTAGTTTAACAAGTGAACAAATAATCAAGTTTTTACTGTTAAAATTATATCAGCTGTTGAGTCATCTTCATATACTTGAAAAAAATCCATCAACTCATTTTCCTTCTTGCTTTTCCAGGTCACAGAGCTGAATGAAGCACTATCCAACGAGGAGCGGAACCTCCTCTCTGTGGCCTATAAGAATGTGGTTGGGGCAAGGCGTTCATCCTGGCGCGTCATCTCCAGCATTGAGCAGAAGACATCAGCTGACGGCAATGAGAAGAAGATTGAGATGGTGCGGGCCTACCGGGAAAAGATAGAAAAGGAGCTGGAGTCCGTCTGCCAGGATGTGCTCAACCTCCTCGACAACTACCTGATCAAGAACTGCAACGAGACGCAGCACGAGAGCAAAGTGTTCTACCTGAAGATGAAGGGCGACTACTACCGCTACTTGGCCGAGGTTGCAACGGGGGAGAAGAGAGCCTCGGTGGTGGAGTCCTCTGAGAAGTCCTACAGCGAGGCCCACGAGATCAGCAAGGAGCACATGCAGCCAACCCACCCCATCCGCCTGGGCCTGGCTCTTAACTACTCTGTCTTCTACTATGAGATCCAGAACGCGCCAGAGCAGGCGTGCCACCTGGCCAAGACAGCTTTCGATGACGCCATTGCCGAGCTGGATACCCTCAACGAGGACTCCTACAAAGACTCCACTCTCATCATGCAGCTGCTACGAGACAACTTGACGCTCTGGACGAGCGACCAGCAGGATGACGAGGGAGGAGAGGGCAACAACTAAGGAGTCTAGAACCCCATTCTGCCAAAACAACACAAACACACGCGCTCACAAATGATGACAAAAATAATAATAATAGTTAAAATGTTCTTAGAAATGTAAAACAAAACAAAAAAAAACAAAACAAAAAAAAAACAAAGGAGGGTGGGTTGGGGGGGCGGTGAAACCTCGGCGGCCTATTGAAGCCGATGGTTGCTGACGCGGCTGCAGTTCTTTATTTTTCCACAGATTTAAAGTGAAAAAAAAAAGGTAGGCAGATGAAGGAATTTTAGTTTCAGAAATAACCTACAGTTAAAGAAAAAAAAACAATAGAAGAAAGAACCCCCCTCCTTGATAGCCTCTGCAGCATTTGCCAAACACTTGTAGATGCAAGAGGTATGCCATTGATCACAGTGTGACCATTGGGTATTGATACCTTCACACTGGCAGAGACTGGTCTCATTGTGCAAATGAAGCTGAGCTGTCTTGCTATATTCGACGAGGGAGGAGCATATAGAAAATTCAGTTTCGATGCTTGAGCAGCGGGAAAAATGGAGTAACCTTGAATGTCACAAACTTTCTTGGTGAAAGAAAGGGAGGGAGAGAAAGAGAGAGAGCAAGCAGGTGGGTTGGGAGATGAAGATGAGCTTTTCTGGGGGTGTTGAACTTCATTGCGTAAAAACGTACTGACATCTTTAGTTGCACTGCGTGGGCCCATGGTCGTTGAGTGAAAAGCAGGTTGTCTCTGTTATTGATAACAAACAACAACAACAAAAAAAATTTGTTTGCTTGTGTCAGGTATTTGTCCTGCTCAGTCACACGGTCATACTGTAACTAAAACTACAGATTCATAAAGTAAACTTAGTGCAGCTTGTCCCTCTCATGTGCTGATGTGCTTTATTAAATAAATTAACTGTTTTTGGACACCCAATTCTTATTGTCAGTATTGTCGTTACTACTTCTATCGGCTCCTTTTGTTTATCAGGAAACTATTTGATCGAGATAGTGAAAAATACCATCAATTTTCACCTTTAAGTAATGCCGTCTTCAAAACAATTGGCAGGGTCTGATCTGAAATGTCACCTGGAACCACAGACCCGATTAGTGAACAGAGCATGATCTGTGGACAGAGAGCACATGCACTGTTAAAGTGGAAGCTGTAAAAGCAGACATGAGGTTTGTGGATTTACTTTGTCTTCAGTTTCTTCTTGGTCGAGAAAATGCACTTGCCTATTATACTGTTTCTTCAGTGTAAGATGATAACTGCTCCAATAGTCTCCATAATACAATCTTGTGCATGCTAGTGATGTATTTATACAGTAGCTTCAATTTATTAACTTATACTGTAGATGTTATGCATTCATATGAACATGGAATTACTAGACCTTAATTGGATTATTTTCTATTTATTTCTTTTTATTGCGATTGTTAGTTAGACCTTATTTTAATCTGTGTTTTCTTTACTCCGTTTGCTGAAGTACGCTATACCAAAACAGTGATTGTTAACAATAAATTGATCTGTTACGGACATCGCTATGGTTGATATGCAATTCTTGGCAAGGGGGACTAAAAGCAGAAGGCAAATTAGCTTATGTTGTGCCACTGACCAGCACAACACAGGCCGATGGATTCATGTTTCAGTGAGGAGACGCCGCATATTTGGAAGCTTAACGAAATTAGTTCACAGAGAATGGTTGTTTTTTTTTTTTGGTTTTTTTTTTTTGAGCCAAAATTTTATTCAGTTTCATTTAAATAGCGCCAAATCACGATAACTTTTGCTTCAAAACCCTACAAAAATACAGAGAAAACCCCAACAAGCGACAGTTGGGAGGAAAAACTCCCTTTTAACAGGAAGAAACCTCCATCAGAACCAGGCTCAGAGACAGGCAGCCATCTGCCGGGACTGGTTGGGATCTTAAGGGGAAGGAGACAGGATAAAAGACACACTGTGGAAGAGAGCCAGAAATTAATAATCACTAGCAGAGCGGACACCTATCAAACGGCTACCAGCTCCAGCTGAATAACTGTTGTTAAATTGGCCATTTTAACTTGGAACTATGCTGATTGACTCTCTCCTAGAGCCAGCCTCAAGTGGCTGCAGTTTTGGCCACTCTAGCGTTACCTTCATTTTCCATTCAGCAACCCTGAATTACACAAGCAGAAGAAGAATGACAGATGAATTTACAGGGCCTGTCTCTAGAGGTCTTTTTTCATTGGTTTTTTGGTTTTCTTCCTATACAGCCAAGTGTTGACAGCACCCATGGTCCTCAGTGCACAGCACTTTCCTGCTACATTATCATTGCTTTTAATTGAAAGCAGTTCAGTTTTTGGAGCACCACTTTCCTAGCCAATGTTGCTGTCATTAGAATGTCAACACTTAAATACGGTAAAGTTGAAAACTTAGAACAAGATGCTGGTTGCATCTTGTTCTAAACTCTTAAGAATATCTCTGAAAATTTCTGAGGATGCCTATATGCCTATAATATTAATGAATGACTCTTCAAACTTCAGCATCTTTACAAAATTACATAATGCAGTAGCCCACACATATCTGAGAATACAGCTCCAAGAATGTATTTGATGTACTGGTACTGATCCTGGTTGAAACACAACACAGCATAGCAGAAGTCTCCCCCCAGACACACCAACGTCTGATTTTATACAGACGTTGGTGTGTCTGCAATGAGACACCTCAATTATAGGCTGGGTTCTCAAGGTTCTCAAATTTACTTGTTTTGGATTTTAGGCTTTTTGTGATATAATCCAGAGTATAGACTCACATACACACATATCTACAGGATCTACAGCGAGGACATTGGGATGTCATTTGGACTGGATATGTGTGGTTAAATGGTTGAAAAGAGAGGGAAGGTGATCTGGACTGAAGGGGTGGAGTTGTGAGAAGGGAGAATAGCAGATGTGCAGGAGAGCCAAAAGTACTTGGCTATCCCACAGGCCACTGAGAATCATGATAAAGATGCACGAAGGTCAGTCACAGCCAGATACTTCCAGATACGGGTGCTGAAAGGCTAGCTGAACAGTAGGAAAAAGATGCAAGCCATTAAAACACAGGCCCTAATAGTCATCAGTTACCCAGCTGGAAAAATAATCCGGCCACAGAATGGCCGGCCATCCACATGGATGCCACTGATTTCAAGATACAAAACCTCCTCACAATGCACAGAGGTCTATATCCAAAGTCCAGCACCCTGAGGCTCTATGAGCAATGGAAAAAGAAAAAGTGAGGGTTAGTTTTAGAACCAAAGTCCAGGATGACAATGAAGCATTCAGAACACATCAGATAGCCCCACGAAGATAGCCCCACGAGATGAGCTACTTCAAGAATGCCTCGGGCAGGTGAAGATAGACAGTGATGAAAAAAGGGAACCAACATACACAATTAAGCTTCTGCTTAGGAGGTGCCATCAACACAGAGGAAGAGAAGATATCAAGATATGCTACCAGTGGCTAAAAAGGCCGCTTAAAGGACGAAGCAGAGGCTCTGATCATGGCACCACAAGAACAGGCCCTTCAATCTGTGACAGCATACAATGAGAAATACTACGAAGTGGCTGGGATAGTTTACAAAAACATCCATATGGACTAGACGTCCCCAAGTCCCGATGGGAGATCTTCTGTTAGAGGTCTAGACAGACAAGCTGCTGTCCCAACCAACAAGAGATAGTGGTGGTTGATATTTCCCACATCCATAAACATAAACTACTTTATACTCTTTTTTTTTTTTTTATACTGCAGACACTTTATTCAATTTATTCACTTACAGTTACTTATTTACTTATTCAGTCACTTTAATTTTAAAACTGTATATACTGTACATTCTGTGTATTTATTATCTCATTCTTATTGCCCGTTTATGCCCTGTCCTTATCTTTAACGTCATGCTGCTCTGTTGTATCTTAATTGCCCCTTGGGGATAAATAAAGTCTCTCTGATTCTGATAAGAGCAGAAGACCACAGACATTGGTACACATAATGCCAATGTCAGTATAAGTTTCTAATCATTCAGAAAGCATTGAGTGAACAAGAAAACTGCTCATTTATGCAACATTGTTGTGTCCAGGATTTTTTTCCCCCCTGCAGGTAAGTTGGCTGGAACATCACATTCTTTCTCTGTCTTCTGTCTCTGCAAAAGACTCTAATCATTAATCCAACGATGTCTGTGTGGGAAGCAGTGCTAATCAAGAATGGCAATTTGTCAAATTAACATCTTCAGTCGGGTAGGGAGGGAGAGGTAATTATTGGAAACAGCTGGTGAGTGTTAATTTGTCAGAAGGCAATCAACACTGGCAAAATCCTACACTGTTGCTATGGAGAAGAAAAAGCATCACATCTGTTCATCAGTGCACTAATCTGAGGTCCACACACCTGATGACAAGATCATTCATTTAGTAGAGCATCATTAACCAAGTCTGGGTTTTTTTTTCTGTTGCTGAAATGCACATTAGATTTAGAGCATGAAACGACTACTGCTGGGTGCAGAGTGAGTTTTATTGTACTCTTCATCCCAATTAAATGATTTATATACCCGTCTTGTCATGATCTACACAAAGGAGCAATGAACTGGTTTCTTTTTCAAGATTATGTCAGAGATTTTCTCAGATATTGGAGGAGCCAAAATTTTACTAGTCTAGATGCTTATTTTTTACTCTACAAAGACAAAGCTGTTACACTAATACCACTGATCTACGCTATTTAAAAGATGAAAAGTTGTTTGACATGAATATTTATGATTTATGCTGTTAATGCTGGCCTACAGTAAATCTAATATTCATGTTGTGAGTAATTTATTGCTGCCAAACCCTACAGTGATCCATGGGTGCTACTCTTGATTGTATCTTATCAATGCTGGACTTTGGTCCATATGTCTATTATAATAACATATCAGTGTGTACGCCTTAATAATGAACTCATTGTATTAGGCCACATCTGTGATGATGATAACTGACTGAGTTATCGTCATCAGCCTTTTTAGTGTAGGTTGTATGAAGCTGATGTCTTATAGGTTTGGTAAGCTACAGTAAAAATTCTGCCAGTGACCTATTGGTGCTTGTCTTTTTTTTTCCTCGTCCAGTTTAAACTTTGTTTTCTCTAAATATTCTACCCACTGTATGATATCCAGCTGTATTACTACTAAAATAATATTCACACACTAACAATATTAAAATAGTAAACTCATGTGCTTAGCATTTACATTTTAGCATAGTTAGCAGCACTTCTAACAGTAACAAGTAGAGGCTTTTTGTTATAAAGGATGGCTCTAACCAGGGCTTAAAATGTACCAGAATGGACCACTAACCACATCATGTTAATGTTTTCATGCAGTCATGGTGACAATGTAGGATCAATGACTGATCACATGATTATCTAGCAAACACTGGAAAAATGAATATTCTTTAACCAGATGTGTGTGGTTCCTGGAGGCTGATGGCTACAGACAACAGCAACAGTGATGCTTGGTAACCACTGTGAGGTAGTCAGGCACGAACGTCAAGGAAGGTGGTAGAGAAGCAGACTATGCAGACATTTCAGGTTTTCAGAGGTGAGCAATTTATTCACAGTGAACTTAATTTAATGTATAACTTAACAAAACTTCCCCCAAATCAATTCAATTAACAAAACTCAACATAACATGGCTCTGGTGACACAGCTCACCTCTCCTCTCTCCTGCATCTTCTTCTTCAGTCAAGCTTAATGGCAGCTTGCATCCAAAACTGTTGCATTACTGTCATCTCCTGGCCATTAACCATCCATCACTCCTGAATCCTCAGATCCTCTTGATGAGACCAGTACTTCTCAAAAACGAAAAACCACCACTTTCTCTCCTGCATCTGGTAGAGACTGGCTTTAAATAGGGCCATCAATTTCCCTCCAATTGCCCAGCCAGTACCACTCACTCAACTGAGGGATCTAAAACTCTACACAGATTATCTGAAAACACAAAACCTCTACACACTTCTAACATGCACATTTACACAACTAAATGGCAGTATTAACGAAAGGAAAAACCTCAATAGTCATGCATTTTACAGCAGAATCAGTTCATTTTGACTGTGTCGCAGTCTGACAGTCAGACTTCTAGTAACTGCCTGAACATACTTCCTTAGTAAAAAGAAAATGACATCCCAAACCTAAATGCTTCCCCTTTTCCTTTTCATTCCTGTGATGTGTTCATGCTACACATCTAAATAAAGTTGAGTTTCAGAAGAGAAGTGAGCATAAATGTAACATTATCTTAAGTTATGTTTTTGTGAAACAGCCTGCAATCAAAGTATACTAATCTTGTGTTGTATTCAGAAGTTGCATGAAAATATAGTACAAGGCAGTTCAATGCCCTATGCTGAACTGGTACAGAGCAGGCTGTGATACTTGTGGCCAGTTAGATCAAAGGTAGCAGACAATAATTTTTTGTTTAAGTTGATGAAGCTGCTTAGATTCAATTCTACACTTTATGCTGACTTTATGCTATTGTCTACAGGGATTGCTGGATGTCACTGGGTGAAAATGGTCACAAATAGGGTGCTGCACCTCAAACATGGTCATTTCACCTCATCTCAGTTTTATTTATATAGCCCCAAATCACAAGAACAATTACTTCAAGACACTTTGTAATAGACCCTATAATACTACAAAGAAAAACCCAACAATCAGATGATCCCATATAAGCAAGTACTTGGCTACAGTGGAAAAGTAAAACTCCCTTCCAACAGGAAGAAACCTAGAACTAGAACCAGGCTTAGGGGGGAAGAGCCATCTGCTGTGACTGGGTTAGAGGTGAGGGGAAGGAGTCAGGACAAATAAGGTGAGATTAATTATCGGAGCGGAAGGCTTATAGAGAGCTAGCATCTGCATTTAACAGAAACTATGTTAGTATTCAGAAATACAGTTCTGGTAATATTTGTTGCACAGATTCTCCACTGAATATGTTTACAGTATGTGTGTCATACACATTATATAATAACATCTCTGTCCCCTCTCCAGCCTGTCAGTCCAGTCAGCGGCCCTGAAGCTAACAGCTCTTCATATCCTCGCATAGGGCACCATCCTGGTTGAAAAACTGGATAGCTCCTGGATTGATGGATAATTTCAGCCTTTTTTAAAATGGAAGGAAATGGTGAATCGGGGAAGGGGAAACTTGCAATACTCAGTGGGTTGAAGAACATTGTGTAGCAGATACAAAGACATATGTTGCTGCATACAAAGAGGATATATGCAAATATATAGAAAACATAAATAGAAATAGTTTACAAGATTAAGACAGCTGATAAGCAGGTGCCCATAGCATAGGAAAAAGAAACATCAGTTCATGTCTGATGTCAAATCTGTGTAATTATACAGCACGCTGGAGGCTTAGTGCATAGCACAGTGTTCTATAAATAGATATCCCCTGCAGCTTTGGAGTTAAGAGTTGGGTTAGTATGTGCATTAGTGAGCTTGCATACAACATGGATGACTGGAAGGTGACAGGGAGGAAGAAAAAGAAGTGATGAAAACCGCTAGATAGTATGTACGTCACTAGTTGTAGTGCTGCAGCTTTCATTCACTCTGCATTGACTCACAGTCAAGTGGAAAGAGATGAGCATTAACACAACTGCATGTAAGACTGGTAGTGGAAGCAGCCCATCAGCGAACACTTTTCCAAACTCCTGGCTGTGTCAGTTTTCCTGTTTAGATAATGTCCGAGTCTACACCCTTAAGATGTAGTGTGATTTAAATCTTCTCTATCACATATTTGGACACTTTTCTCACTGGTTTTGCTGAAGGTGTCTCACCCCAAATCACATCATATCGTTAGCTTCATAGCATAAGTGCCTAAGTCATTTTTTGGTCAAATTGAGATTTTTGCCTAACTTTACTCCCCTACCACTGCTGCATCATCCTGTCTGTCTGCCTATGTCATCACAAAAAAATGACTTAGGCACTTATGCTATGAAGCTAACGATATATGGCAATGTCACGTGAAAGGAGATATAAGAACAATGGATGCAAATCAGAGACCCTCAAAATTGTGATGAAATGTGATTTATCAGTAAATTAAATTCTATATAAATTGTAAATATTTAAATTGAGGTATTTAAGCTGCAAACTAACCTTAAAGTCAATTCAGTACACTTTTAATTGATGTCATATAATTAATATTTGTGGGGTTTTGCACAGCTGTTCAAAAACTATTCTGGGACCAGATATAAACTGCTTGTCTGTCAGTGTTTAAGAAGTGAATAAGCGTTTCAGGAGGTTTCTGATCATAATCTTCTTGCTGTGAAGTGGCTGTACTAATCTGTTTGTAGCAGTCAAAGAAAATCTATTTTTCAAAGTTAACTATGGCATGATCACAATCACCAAATACTATGATTTAAACACTATAAATATATTCAGGTCCATATTAATATTTACAGTTTATTCATTCATTTATTTTTTTTTATTAAAGCTAGCTAAAAGTCTGCAGTTCAATCACATCTTGATTGATTTAAAACCCCACAGTGGTGATCTACAGGGGTAAAAATACAACTGTGCCAACGTCCAAATACTTACGGACTATGGGATACGTTCTGGTTTCCATTTCTGTTGGCCAAGTTTTACTTGTATGTAAGCAATTAGCCTATGAAGCTAAATAAAATGTATCTAGGGTCCCGTACTTCACATTACCAGTGTTTTCAATGGTATCTGGTCAGCACGTTACATGAATTTCTTCCTGTATGGATGCAGCTTCATGCCTAACTGCCTTTTTGACTTCAGGGGGCTCGGTAAATTTTCATTTCACAGCAGGATACAAGCCTGGTGCAATGGTTATAAATGACCTTGTTCAGTCAACAGAACAGAGCAAATCTCCATCAATTATATATCCATTTGGCAATAAATTATTCATTAGAGACTTTTGTATGATGGAATTATGCAATTTGGGAATTAAGACACATTTCAGTGCAGATGCACAGCTAAAAAGATCGCTTCGTTTCTCTGTAAATATAACACCTAGGTCACAGCAACATCACTTTTACTCTGACTCCATACATATGGGCATATGGGTGCTGTCTGCTGAAGTTCACTTTACTGTGATTCATTTAAAAAAAAGAATTTTATATATCGTCACAGTCTGCAGATTATGAATAATATACTAAGTCCTTATCAATTTAAATCTTTCAGTGACTGACCTAATGGGGGTACTCTACAAAAAAAAGCTGAAGTAATGTTTTATTCACCTAAAATGTGTTACAATTTTAATGAAACCTGGTCCACTGTGTTACTGTGTGGAGGGATCAGACGGTCACATGGGGGCGCTATTGTTAAATATCAAATTGTTACAGTCCTTTGTTGGGCAGCTGTGGCTACAATGTAGCTTGCCATCACCAGTGTGTGAATGTGTGTGAATTTGTGTGTGACTGGGTGAATGACTGAATCCAGTGTAAAATGCTTTGGGGTCCTTAGGGACTAAGTAAAGCTCTATACAAATACAGGCCATTTATCATTTACTGGTGACCACAGGATGAACCGTTTGGCATCAGGTATCACAACAGCAACACAAACTCAAACACAAATGAACAGCAGAGACTCTATATGTTGGGTGTTTTTTATTTCCTGTTTGCATGGCTTTAATCAGTCTGTTTCAGTCCACACAACAGCAAGATCACAAACAGTCCTCTTTCTTTACTCAAAGCTTTGGTGTGTATGTGGATTAGTATGTGCATTATTGGAGGCATTCTGCCTCCAATAATTGTCACATTTGCTGTTATTCCATTCTGTTTCGATGTTTGAAGAGGCAGCATAAAGGGGTGTGTGTGTGTGTGTGGGGTGGGGGGGGTGGGGGGGAGAAAAAGAAACAAGAAGCTGAGAGCTGAGCTAAGCTGCGTATTCAGATGAAGAGTGTAATTACAGCAGAAAGAGCACGCACATGGCACTGGTGCAGATACGTTTACACAGTGTGCTGTGCTGGGGTAGGCTCATTACCAGAGATGGAGTTGAGAGGGAAGAGCTAGGGCAATCCTTCGCTCTCCTCTGCTTGGCATGTGAACGAGCTCTGTTTATGAAGAGCAGTAAGCTGATGCTTTTCCTCACTACAAGCGGAATATCCCCCGTCCTTTTCCTCCTCCTCCCACACACACACATACACACATCTATTTGAATGTGTGTATGTGGAGGAGGACAGGTGGAAGGAAATGGTGCCCATTTTCTTACTACTTCTTCACCACACCGCCGTTGCTTTCGACATTGACGGGTATCGTGGTTTCTGAGTGCTCAATGGCCGGTTTGATCAAAGGAGCCTCCACGGTCAGCACGCCTTCAGGAGAAAGGGCAGAGGTCACCTTCTCAACATCAGCTGAAGGGGGGAGGCTGCGAGGGAGGAATACGACACAATTAGGTCAGAAATCAGAAGAAAACAAAACAAAACCTTGCCTCTTAGTGAGAAAAGGATCAGTGCTACGATTTAGTCAAAAACTAACAGGACCAAAGCGTTTAGTAAAACGAGTAAAGTTCAGTTGCAGCTTAGTGTGTGTTACTCTATGGCCCCTAGATGGCAGCAGAGCCCTATGAAGCTAAAGTCTACCAAGACTCAAGAAGGGATGAACCGCTTGAAGGCTGCTGCTACTTTTCAGAGCATGAAATTTAGCTATCAGCAGCCCGCCAGCCAGAACAGATCAGCCCATGAACTAAAGAGACTCACAGTATCAGAGTCACGATTTTAGAAAAATTTATCACACTTATGAATAAATCAAATCCAATTTAGAGGACGAACACCAAAGGCAATAACATTCAGCCACAATAAAATTTGTACTTCTAAAACCTAAAGTCTTCAAGTGAGTAGTTGACATACTGCATGGGCCACATCTTCCTTAAATTTGTTTGATTAATGGCAGGAAGTGATCAAGAGTAAATCAAGATTCCTTTCTATTCTTTCTCAAGTAAAGACAAACTCACGTGTACTTCCTGGTGAAACTTCTGGACACAAAACCATGCTCATCTTTCCTCTCCTCGTGCTTACCTGTGGACACAGACAATGTACTTTAAGCTAGACTGAAAGCTATATTTGCTATAAGGAGCAGTGCAAGAAGACATCTTGTTTACCATAGTAAAATAAACCTGTTGGGCGGAACAGTGCATACAGACTTCATTCCACTAATCTAAGCCTTAATTTATGCACTCTACTTTAGCACCTAATGAAAATAATAAATTGGATTGTATAAAGTATTTCTTACTGGTGCACAGTTACTTTTATGGAGTCCAGCCATAATCTGATTTGGACTTTGTGCTTTTTCAAAGCATTTATTTATGTGATCCAGAGATTGCTCTTATGCTTAGCACAAAGACTACAGGCATCTTCCATCACCTCTGAAAGTTAATAATAAGCATTCTGTTTCTATTTTTAAAACTTGGCTGTGAAAACTAAACCTGGAGATGAATGGTTGTTGAGGGTTTTTTTTCCCCCCAAGTTGGTTTAGTTTATTTCCTGTCTGCAGGCCTTCAAAGGTGCACACCTTTGTTGTTCTTTACTAGCATGGATGGAGGAGGTCTAAGGCAGATGAGAGTGAGTAACTGGTAGAGGGGTCCAAGGAAGAGACGTCTGTGTGTGAGGTGGAGGTGTAGTTGGAAAGGCATTCATGGCTTTTCACTTAAAGAGGCTGGACAAAGAGTACAACCGGTTTAAACAGAAACACTGTAATGTTGCTGTGCAGTAATATCTTCAGCAATATACTTCATGTAATTGTTTCATTACATGTATTCTTTATAGAACTGCCGTTCTCTGGTGGAAGAGGGACAATTGTCACTGCTGCCCTGATTTGCGTAATCAGGGCAGCAGTGATTGCAGATCAGGAACCTCAACAACGTGGGCCTGAACACCATTAACCATGTCTTAAAAAGCAACCATATGGCCATGAAGCAGCTCTACAGAGTTCCATTTCAAAGGAACTCAGAAGTTGTGAAGGAGGCCAGATGCTGTAATACCTTGTCATATCATGCAGTTAGAGTCAACTGGAGTCACTTTTCATTGTAATTTTGCTTTTACTTAGAGAAGAATGTAGCTTGAAGCTGAGGGAGCACATCATGTCTTCATTTATGCTGATGAAGTCGGCTCCTGTAAAGTCAGGAGTTGTGGAAGGAACCTCACTGGATACAGGGCCACTTTCAGAGTTCCAGGACAGAGGGGTGCCAACATACCCACGTGTGCTGCCATCTCCAATGATGGTGTCCTATGCTATATCCCCACCATTCACCCATCCAACACAGAACGACTCATAACATTCCTGAATACACTTCATGAGAGGCTGATCCAGCCTGAGGAGAGAGGGCTGTTGAGGACTGTCATGCCCCTCTTCGCCATTATCTAGGATAATGTGGCATTGCACCAATGAGTGGTTTACAATACACCCACATATAATGATGCATTTCCTCCTAGCATGTGCCCCTTTTTTTTTTTGTGAATCCGTTAGAGGAGTTTATTATCACCATCCCTATGAGCAGATACCCTTTCTGAATGCAATGACTGCTGCAGCCCAAGAAATAGGTGAGAAGGAATGTCAAGGTTGGATACGGCATGAAAGAAGGTTTTTTTTTTATGTTTGTTTTTTTTCCTCGATGTATTGTAAGAAAGAATTTTGAGTCTGATGTGGATGAAGCCTTGTGGCCAACTCGTTAAGACAGAAGGGACTGAGTATCAATAGTGGCTGTTTCTTATACTGTAATAGATTTTATTTTGGTTTACTGTATTCATTTTGAATATATGTATTTTCTGTAATATGTACAGTATATCAGTTTTCAGCCAGTTTGCATCAAAGCATTTTTGATTCTTGATCCCACTAAGCACTGCATTTTGTATTTTGTTGTCCGCTGCTCAGCTGGCGGGCAATGATTGATTAGAAAAGCTCATATACTTGTTTGCAAATTGTGTTGTTTTGAAGGCAAAATTAGCTTTTGGAGGCATAAACAAAATGTGTCACTTTGACCATCAGTGCGTCTGTTAGGCTTGTGTGAGTTGTCTGCTGCATGACAGCAATCAAGAAAAGCTGTAAAGCACTAAGGATATACATACATGTATTCATAGATTTCTAAAATGTTTCATAAATGATTTTTTCAGAGTTTTAATTTGCATATACAGGGAGTGCAGAATTATTATGGAAATGAGTATTTTGTCCACATCATCCTCTTCATGCATGTTGTCTTACTCCAAACTGTATAGACTCGAAAGCCTACTACCTATTAAGCATATTAGGTGATGTGCATCTCTGTAATGAGAAGGGGTGTGGTCTAATGACATCAACACCCTATATCAGGTGTGCATAATTATTAGGCAACGTCCTTTCCTTTGGCAAAATGGGTCAAAAGAAGGACTTGACAGGCTCAGAAAAGTCAAAAATAGTGAGATATCTTGCAGAGGGATGCAGCAGTCTCAAAATTGCAAAGCTTCTGAAGCGTGATCATCGAAAAATCAAGCGTTTCATTCAAAATAGTCAACAGGGTCGCAAGAAGCGTGTGGAAAAACTAAGGCGCAAAATAACTGCCTATGAACTGAGAAAAGTCAAGCGTGCAGCTGCCAAGATGCCACTTGCCACCAGTTTGGCCATATTTCAGAGCTGCAACATCACTGGAGTGCCCAAAAGCACAAGGTGTGCAATACTCAGAGACATGGCCAAGGTAAGAAAGGCTGAAAGACGACCACCACTGAACAAGACACACAAGCTGAAACGTCAAGACTGGGCCAAGAAATATCTCAAGACTGGTTTTTCTAAGGTTTTATGGAAATGAGAGTGAGTCTTGATGGGCCAGATGGATGGGCCCGTGGCTGGATTGGTAAAGGGCAGAGAGCTCCAGTCCGACTCAGACGCCAGCAAGGTGGAGGTGAAGTACTGGTTTGGGCTGGTATCATCAAAGATGAGCTTGTGGGCCTTTTCGGGTTGAGGATGGAGTCAAGCTCAACTCCCAGTCCTACTGCCAGTTTCTGGAAGACACCTTCTTCAAGCAGTGGTACAGGAAGAAGTCTGCATCCTTCAAGAAAAACACGATTTCCATGCAGGACAATGCTCCATCACACGCGTCCAAGTACTCCACAGCGTGGCTGGCAAGAAAGGGTATAAAAGAAGAATGACATGGCCACCTTGTTCACCTGATCTGAACCACATTGAGAACCTGTGGTCCATCATCAAATGTGAGATTTACAAGGAGGGAAAACAGTACACCTCTCTGAACAGTGTCTGGGAGGCTGTGGTTGCTGCTGCACGCAATGTTGATGGTGAACAGATCAAAACACTGACAGAATCCATGGATGGCAGGCTTTTGAGTGTCCTTGCAAAGAAAGGTGGCTATATTGGTCGCTGATTTGTTTTTGTTTTGTTTTTGAATGTCAGAAATGTATATTTGTGAATGTGGAGATGTTATATTGGTTTCACTGGTAAAAATAAATAATTGAAATGGGTATATATTTGTTTTTTGTTAAGTTGCCTAATAATTATGCACAGTAATAGTCACCTGCACACACAGATATCCCCCTAAAATAGCTCAAACTAAAAACAAACTAAAAAATACTTCCAAAAACATTCAGCTTTGATATTAATGAGTTTTTTGGGTTCATTGAGAACATGGTTGTTGTTCAATAATAAAATTATTCCTCAAAAATACAACTTGCCTAATAATTCTGCACTCCCTGTATGTTATGTTAACTCTAAAACTCATGCAGTTCAGTGCTACTGAACCACACCTCACCAGACTTAATCAGCCTCTTGTATCTCAGATGCCCTGCTATGAAGTTGCTGCCCTTCATTCTGCCTCTGAATACAGTAATATGTTTGTTGTTACAACGAACCGATAAAGGTTGCGGTCCAGAGAGAGCTGTCCGCTTTTCAACTGGACCAAATTGATTGTGTAACACACACTTTTTCATCAGCTAAACGAAAGGTCATTAGTTTTGACCGACAGCTGCGGAGAGGTTGCACTTTGGTGTGTTTACAAAACTCTTCATTACACTGTTGTGTTTAAAATATCATCCTGGGTCACTGGTGATACATGTGGTGGAACATGGGGTGGCAAATTCCACTTGGATTGAATTTCGTGCTTTGTTTATCTTGGTGTTTCTGATGAGGTTCAGTCTCTGAGCTGGGAGATGTTGGGTACAGTCGGGGACTGAACACTGGACCTGGACAAGATCCAGCAGTCCTTTTAAAGTAGTGGACATACTGGCTAAGCTGCAGCTAAATCCCCAGCTCTGAGAATGGGATCCTTTGTGAAATAGCAGGCAGTGAGGCTGAGATTCACTCAGAGAAAAGAGAGCCCAGGGCTTTAGAGAACTAAGCTGCTATCTGATCAGTTCCACACTTTCTTCAGGTCTGCTTTGCTCCTGCCCGTCCTGGATGGACAGTGAGGCTGTTTTAACATTGTTTTCATGCCTGAGCGTCTTTAAAAGTCAACTCCCACATTTTGAACTGTGTCTTGTTTTGCGTCCAGTGGGCTTAGAGTCAAAACCCCCTGACCCTCCCAAGTCCCTGAACACATTACTCTATTGTCTCAATATGTTATGTAACTATGTAACCACTTCATGCTTTGTTCAGTTCTATCAGTTTTTGTTTTACAGAAGAAAAAGAGGCACTTAAGAAAACTAAAGTGAGACAGTGTGCATATCAACCAGTACAGCTGTCTAAAGTGTGTCACTCAAGGAACATCTGACAGGAAAATGACACCTTAGGTTTCAGGACATAAAACACTATGACCTTTCAATCATTCAATAAGGAGAGCAACAGAAATCAAATAAGTGCTCACCCGAGATTTCCACCACGCCATCTTTTGTCTTCACCATCAAGTCCTCAGGTGAGAAGTGGTTCACATCCAGCGATACCTTCCAGCTGTCTTGGGTCTGCTTGATCTCGGAAATGCCGCTGCTCAGCTGGCGGGACAGGGCCCGAGCCTGAGCCTGCTGAGCCATCATGTGGGTTGGATACATCAAGGGAGCATGCGGTGTCATTAGTTCTGGAGCCAGGATGGATGGCCTCAGGTACCCTGGCCAGTGGGTGCTGGGAAATGCTGCGATGTCCTCGGGCAGGGCGGGCATACCGAAGGTCTGGTCAAAGATACGGCTGCTCTGGTGCCAGTCACGAAATGGGTCCCAGCTCGGAGTGCGGAGCAAGGTGAAAGGAATACGTCTCTCAGCCATGATGATCTGGGAATTTCTTCTAAGCTTCAGAGGAGTGTTGCTGTGTGCAGATCGAGAGCCCCTTGGCCTCTCTGGAAGTGTTTTCTTAATGTGCTGTCTGCCTCTCAGCTGAGAGCTTTTATACACAATGACACCACCCCTTATCACCAGAACCCTCCCTTCAGACTCAAGCCCCATACCTCATGCCTCCAGAATGTTTTACGAAAGCACTAGAATATCTATTTATAGCGGAAGTAGCACTGGAATGGAATCCAACAGGAAGACCCTCCCATGTAACAGTTGCCCTAGGCACTGAGTGCTGTGTGTAAACCCCCTTCTCCTCTCCCTGTGCATCTCAAAGAGCCAGAAGAATCTGGGAGGCTTCTGTCCGTCTACTTACAAGCTAACATGCTATTCTTAACAACGCTATGTTGCGCTATGAACCCATTCAGCCCTGAATGAAATACATAGTAGAATATCAGTTTGGTACATGAAGCCAAATGACTTGACTGGATTAAAACTGGAGGAAAATCCACCATGTTCACACCTGCCTATTCATACTTCTTTGTCACAAAGGGGGAATTAACAAGCTGTAGCGTCTCAAGTCTTCTGTTAACCTGACAGTCTTTCATTGTTTACTGGATGTTAGTGCCGCGTGATACTGCAATTTTGGTATCAATCCAAAACCAAGTAAATACACGGCCAGTATTACTAATACTAGTACACATATTTTTTAACTATGAAGGCAGTTTATCTAGGGGGGAGTAGTATGTCATGATTTATGACATTACTCGCCAATTTCCAAATTCTGAATACATGACTTTTACTTTCCACATGAAGTAGTTGAAAGAATCCCCCCCCCCACCCCCCCACACACACACCTTTTCTTGTAATTTGTATTTTGGGCTTTTTGGCGACCTGGAACGTAAATGTGTCTGTCTCTTAAGCACTTTGGGTCAACTTTTGTTTTAAATGTGCTACATGTGACAGTGAAAAAAATGACTTAAGAGGGCTACACACTGAAGAGGATAGAAACAAAATATTGATCCTATTATCAATCTTATATCAATACCAGCCATGGTATTAATACTTGGATAGATCTGCCCACCTGTACTGTACGTAAGGCTCTTGGGTTGACTCCAAAAATCTGTCACAGAGCCTTATGTGTACGACATGCTGTGCTAAACTAAGCAGAAGAAAACTTTGAGATGTAACAATATTCGAAATATCGCTTTCACAATTTTGGGAAAACACATTTGGAAAGGTGTAACATTTGTTCCGTTATTTGAGGTTATGGATGTTATTTGACTGGCATAACTCACAGACACACGAGGGATCGCCAGACTTTTTAAGAAGACTTTTGATAGTCCTGACTGCCCTCTCGGCCTCCCCGTTGCTCTGAGGGAAGTAGGGACTGGATGTCACATGACTAAAACCCTATTCTTGTGCAAATCTTGTGAAGGAATCAGACGAAAACTGAGGTCCATTATCAGAGCGAACCCGCTCTGGTATGCCATGACGTGCAAAGATTGATTTACAGTGCTCGATCACTGCCTCTGATGTTGTAGATGTCAGTTTGGCAACTTCGAAGAATCTGGAAAAGTAATCCACAATGACCAGGTACTGTTTAGTCTCTATCTGGAACAGATCATTTCCAACCATGGCCCACGGTGTTTTTGGGAACTCTTTAGGTAGCATGGTTTCTTTGTGTTTAGTCCGCTCGCGGCAGCAAGTGTCGCAGGTCCTGATCACTTTTATTAGCTCACTGCTCAGGCCTGCTCACTGCTCAGAGAGCTCTCTAAACAACAGCGGGTGACTTGAAACTGACTCATGACGTCACGTCTCTTTTCACGCAGCTCCTCTATGGCTGACCTTTAGCCTGGCACCGATGCCGAAACCTTGAAAAATGAGTGTCCTTTATTATTTTTCACCCCCCGCCCCCACACACACGCACACACAACAACCCAGCAGAAATGTTCCTACCTCTTAACATTTACCTGATACTAGAACATTAAAATCAGCTAATTTAGCTGAGTTGGTCTTACGGGTCGTGGTCTGGTCCATGCTGCTCATTGTCACAGTTTACTGGCAGTCTTGATGGAAGTGTGCCACTGTTAATTTAATAACTATCGACCAGTGGACTTTGCTGCTGTGACACTTAAAGTGTCTGCTGTGAAAGGTGTCCTATTGAGCTGTACACTTCTGACACAAAGTGAGCAGGTGTCACAGGGACATGCCTCTATCTCTCACAGTGTTACACAGACAGAGAAGAAGAAAAAAACTAACATAAACTGACAGTTCAGCTACAACAGTGATAGTAACTGAGAAATCTCGAGGAAGTGTTCAGATGGAAATGGAGGTTATGTTAATTTATTTGATATATATGGCAAAGTAAGTATTTCTGGAAAATATAGCTCAGGTCTCAGTGTAAGAAATCTAATCCCTCAAAGTTACAGCACAGGATGTGAGATCTGCCTCTAAAATAAGCCATATCTTCCTCTCAGCCCCAGTTGGAGAACATTCTAGCCTACTTAATAGAGAGAGGCTTCATGTTTTTGGTCAAGGTTCTCATCAGTGCCATCTGTAGGAAGATACATACACAGCACCAACAAGTTATCGCTGACTGCACCTGAAGGCAGAGAGAAGAACTCAAAAACTGGATCATTTCCCCATTTGTTTCTGTTTATTGTCAGGTATAATAACTTGTACAATACAAAGAATGATTTGTAGAATCAAAGGGGCGATGTTATACTTGGAATAAATGGTCAGGCTGCAGAGCATCACAGCTGGGATAAGTGTGGTTACACTGGAAATGCATGTCATGAGACCTGGTGAATGGTAAGGAAGACTTAGGCTGATCCCTGATTGTATCACCTGTTTGTTAACCACCCTCATGGAGGTGCAGACACAGCCTGCTGCCGTGCCTGCCAAGCCATCGCTCATTATCTTTTGTAGCCAGCAACTGGGGAGACCTCTGCTAGAATTGTATGGTCAATTATACAAGGGACTGAAATATGGAGTGACTGGAAATGTACAGTAGAGCAGAGTAATTGATTCTTCAGGCTGCTTCAGGCCGAGTCATCTTCCTCCCTCGGCACAGACAGAGCCACAGCAGCCCCGCGTTACCATGAGTCATTATATCGGCTGGGGACGCGATAATGGCAGTCGTGGGAGTAACTGTGGGTGAATGCTCAGTTCAACCGACTCAAAAATCAGAGCTCCTTAAACACATAGCAGTGAATCTGTGCACTGCTTGTTGATCTGATAACAAGAAACCGATTCTGTATCATAACTTGGAGCTTTACAGTACTTTTCTCACATCTGCAGCAAACCCATCTCCAAACCATGATCCAACTGCTTCACAGCAAAATGATAAATATATTAAACAATAAATAACCTAATAAATAAATGAATAAATACAGCGAGTTTCATAAATAGCTGAGATCAACTCACAAATGTGCATGGAGACTTTTTGCAGTACGGTACCATACAGCAGCTCATGTAAATCATTACCTCATTGATCTTTGCAAAGGAGGTTCAAACTCACACACATACACACACTCACACAGTCTCGCACAGGATTAGCATAACAAACGTAATTACTTAAACAGGGAAGAGAGTAAAAGTATGTAACACATACAGCCCCCCCCCGTTTCATTCACCTCTGTTTGCAAAGGTCAGGGGGAAGGGGCAGGGCAGATTCACCCTGCTGGCACATCTCATTTCCATCAGGCCCCCTGATGCATCATGCTGAACATACCTATTCAAACTATATGGAATATACAGTGCATAGTTTACAAAGCCAAACTTAAGAGAGTTTACATCTGTACAGACAAATCTATGCAATACAGTTTTCTCCTAAAAAAACAAAAAAAAAGTTATTTTTATTTCTTTTCCTGATTGAATAAATACTGACTTCTCTTTTGTTCTCTTTTTGTTGATCTGTGTGAACCGGAAGTCTTTGGGGCTGATGAGAGAAAAAGTGATTCTCTGAAATGTACAGTAAGCTGTGTGATTTCGATGTGTCTGCCTTCTTTTCGTCTTCTACTCAGCCCCTCTTTTCAGGATATATTTGATATATATCTCTATATATATATATACTTATAATTGTTGTTAACTGTTATTGAATGTATTTTTGGTAGCTGTGTGGAAGATGAGAAGGAAAGTGCTAACATACATTTGTTCTTTGGGCTCAGCCAATTCATTTTAGACATGTAAAAAAGAAAAAACCTTTCCTTGAATGTGTGAGAAGACATGAACAGTGACTGCCAATATCATGGTATTGTGCTATATCAAAATACATTTTCCTCTCTTTGATCCAGGCTCTGTGTTAGAGATAGAATGGTCCATGGTGAAGGAGTTTGGATCCCGGTCTGTACAGCTGTGCGGCTTCTGCTGAGGACTTGCTAAGGATACGTAATGAATCTACCGGAGTGCAGCAGGTTTAACAGCACTTCTCCTTCTTTTGTTCCTGTTTTTTTTTTCTTTCCTTTTTTCATTCTCGTTCTGCTGGTTGCCATCAGAACCCCGGGCTGTCATAGCTGCTGCGGCTGTAATAACTGTGGTGGCTGCGGGAGCGGCTCCTGCTGCGACTCCAGCTCCGGCTTTGGCTGCGACTCCAGCTGTGGCTGCGGCTCCAGCTCTGGCTCCGGCTCCTGCTGTGGCTCCTGCTGTGACTTCTGCTGCGGCTGTAGCTGCTGTAGCTGCGGCTGGATCGTGACGGGCTGCTGTCGTAGCTGGAAGATGAAGGACTGGGCCGGTAATATGGGATCGGCCGCTTCCGAGCACTGGAGGAGGGAGAAAAATAAGGGTTTGAACAGTTAGTCCTATGTCCTAGTCCTATTTCCTATGGTTAGAGTGTTAAATCTGATGTTAAAGCATGATTAAGGCAATCAGTGTTAGGTCTCAGAGTGGTGACGTGTAATTAGTACAGGATCTGAAAGAGAGCAGCTATGTGGGTTACAAAGAAGCTTCTCAGCCACACACACACACACACACACACACACACACACACACACACACACACACACACACACACACACACACACACACACACACACACACACA